TCAAACTGTGTCAGTTTTTAGGCCACAATATAAAAAACCACAATAATTATCAAGACGATAGAATATTATGAAGCGGACCAAGGATCTCATGCACAATCGATCTACCCATCCGAAGAGAAAACTGAAAAATAAAAGAGCGTCACCAAGGGATCCATGCGACTCTCTTCTAATAACCAAGTCAGATAATGAGCCTTTGTACATAATAAGGATTAAAGAAAAAAGGTAAGGCTTCTAACATTATCTATATCCCTCTAATTTCTATTATATTGATATCATGGTATTATCTTCGAGGAGATAGACTTTAGGATCGTAAAGTGGGTTCAATGAAATTTTATATTTCTCCCAAGTATCTTCTTTTTTATATAGTATCAAAGCCACCAAAATAGTTTAGCTTTCACTACTACTTGTGTATTATCGCTACGCCACAAAGACGATCTTCAAAGCGCTAGCTTATCTACCTATTTGAAGTCAATTTTATTGAGGCGTGGTATGTGATGAAAGCCACAAGTGTTGCGTTAAAACACTTGTGGAGGTGGAAGTCGCAATTTTCATAGCGGACATGAAAGGTGTGCATCTTGATATGATATTTATAGCATGATATATTCATCTTTGTTAATCTTTTGGACCCCTTCTTCAACACTCGGATCATCCAGGGATTGTCTTGGTTAGTAAGCCATCGAATGGTGATAACTATGGCATTTGGAGTCGTTCAATGATCACAGTTCTTCGAGCTAAAAACAAGATAGGTTTCGTTGATGGATCGTTCAAGAGATAGTCATCAACAGGCAAAAATTTTTCCATGTGAAGAAGATGCAATAATATGGTATTATCATGGATCCTCTACTCTGTGGAATCTGATCTTGCTAATGGTGACATATATGTCGATTCTGCTATTGAAGTTTTAACTGATCTGAAAAAAAAGATTTTCACAAAATAACACTCCTAGAATATTCTAAATTCACTACTACATGGTTCAACACCTATCGCTGTATATTTCACCAAATTAAAGGGGTTATGGGATGAACTTTTCACATAACATGTGGTGCAATCAAGAAAGTTGATGAACATGAGCAAAGGAGTAAGGTAATGCAATTTCTCATGGGTTTAAATGAGTCATATTCTACTATTTATGGTTAAATTTGTTAGATTATGTGATCGATATATAATATAATTAATTCAATTTTCATGATAGGTCAATAGAAAAAAATCTATATTATAGTAAGATTATTTATGGGATGTCTTTGATGGGAGGAACTCTCATAATAAATTATCATAAATCGTCTGCTCTCACTTATAAATAGGCATGACCTTTAGGGACTCTATGACTTATGTCATAGAGGACCCAGTTAAGAGATTATGATTTCTTGTAGATCGACGTCACTGTGATAGTCGAAGTCGGGGGACAATATCTTTGCAGATCACACAAATATCTTTTTCAGATGACATCAAAAGATATATATCGTAAATATGATCTAATGTTATTTGATTTCAATCATGACATAAAATTTTTTTCGTATTATGTATAATATATCACATATTTTATGCTTACAAATTTCTCAATAATTTAGAAGAAAAACAATTAGAATTGATTGTTTTTAAAGAGGTCATGATGGCAAGTGCTCGAAAAAGCAATCCTGTTATCAACTCATCAAATAATACGAAAGGAAAGTTTTATTGTGGCCATTGTAATGGGAACAATCAGACCGCTGACAAATGCTATCATTTACATGGCTTCCCTCTTGAATATAAAGTTTACAAGAAAAATGAGAAATCAGGAAATAGAATAAAGGCATCTGTCAATAACTTGCGGTCATATACTCCAATTTTTACGCATGAATAATATCAACTTTTGGCCTTCTTAAGCAATGGTAACACTTTTCCATAGGCAAATGTTACAGGTTATTCTATTTCTTTTTATCTCTTATCTCATAGTGGTGCTACAGATGATCATATTGCGTTATCTCCTCGTCTATTACATAAAACAAAGATCTTTTCACGTTCTGTTATTGGACTACCTGATGGAAGAAAAACACAAATAGCTTCTATTGGTTCCACCAAACTTAATCATGAAATTATTCTTTTAGATATTGTTTGCGTGTCTTCATTTTCTGTTAACCTATTATCAATCAGCATGATAACTAAATTGTTGAATTGCTCAATCACTTTATTTTTTATTCTTCTTCTGATTTTTGCCTCTTACAAGATTTGGCAATGAAGAAGATAATTGGTCTCTACTTTTCTACATATACATCACCTCCAACAATAATGCTACCCATCACAAAAGTCAATAATATATCTTCACAACATGATCTATGGCATAGACGTCTTGATCACCCATCCATATAACCTATGAGATAACTTGTAAAATCGATTTTTGAATTTTTGATTTACTATAATATGATTTATGATACTTCTGCTTTGGCTAAATAAACTAGACTTTGTTTTGGACTTAAGTTCAATTTCTATTTGATATTTGAGATGCTTTTCGAGTTTCTTTTCATTCAAATGCTCATTATTTTCTGACCATTTAGATGATTGTTCTAGGAATACATAGATATATCTCATCCACTTTAAATCTGAAACACAAACACTTTTAAAATCTTTTTATATTTTTGTTGAAAACCAATTTGGTCGAAAGGTAAGACGAATTCTAGTAGATAATGAAAGTAAGTTCAATCCTGTAGGAAGTTTTTTAGAGAGTGTGCTAACAACAACTTAACTTATTATTAGTCTTCTAACTATATCCCTCCGTTCAAGAAAGACACCATTTAAAGTTCTTTATAATCGATAATGTATTTATGACTATCTACGTGTATTTGATTGTTCTTGATAATCGATAATGTATTTAAAGTTCTTTATGGTGGGACTTATGTGTTCATGAGAAGAAATAATGGATTCAGCATTGAAGAACTCAAGTGTCTCTACTCGCTTTCGATTTTAACGTGGAACAACGATAGCAAGATAAAAAGTCGCAGCACCAGATTTTGTGTCGTGTCATCGGTGGAAATATTTTTAATATAATATAAAGGCATCAGCGCGATGGAAACGTCTTTCATTATTTTTACGTGGACTTGATTCTCTACACGTCCCAAGTGAATTATTGAATCCCATAGTTTCAATCGTTGAGGTGACAACGTGAACAACGTGCTGCGTGGATGAGCAGAGCAGGAGCACTTGTGTGTGTCACGTAGATTAGAGATCGCAGTGGCAATCATTCGATCATCTCTTATCGCGAAACCGAAGCTGAGCAGAACAAGAGTCAATTTATATTTAGTTTATATGGTTGATATATCTTGATTCTTGGGTGATTGGATTGTTCAACACAATAAGACTGAGGTGGGTCCGTAAATGATGCTATTGCCGATAACAAAATCCGACGCACATCGGTCTCTTCAATCTTTCTTTAATTATATGTTTATTTGATTCTAAAATCTTCATACCAATAACTTAATATTCTTGTCAGTTAAACTAATTGATATTCTCGTAATATCTATATTTTTATGATTCTGTGTCCGATGTGTCAACATTCATTCTCGAATCAATCTAGTTTGAAGCCAATTTCCATTGAAAATCTATATAACTAGATAAGTGGATGTACCTAATAAAGATCTCTCCGACGCTTAAGTTATATGATGAAAGAAAAATATTATTTGAACTAAAAAAGAGTGACCTTCCTTCGTAAAAGTATCATTAGTAGATAAATTGGGTGACGACCAACATTTAATGGTTAATTATTTCGGGTGTACATTATGGTTATCAACATGGGTTAAGAATGCACTTGTTAGGGTGACAAAGCATTTGAGTAGGTGTCGAGTTGCTGGTGTTGTGGCATTTGGACTACAAAAATCATCTATCGATTCTTATATCATGTTTCTTTATTTTTTATGTACTTGGAAAATGATTTTATGTCTAAGTCATACTAGATATGGTAATTTTTATTTTTGGCATAAAATAGGTTTGACTAGCATTTATCCTAATAATGAAGTATATCAGAAATATATTACTGTCCCAGGCTAAGAGCATGCTACTATGTTTACTATGTGCATGATACTTGGGAATGATACTTAATAGAGTCAGTGTGTAAGATAAATTTATTAATGATATATGATTGATATCACATTGTTAAAGATGGACTATATGGTTAGGGATGATTTCATAACTTATAATTTTTTGTTAATTGATTCAGACTCGAATAATTAAAAAAAACCCATAACGATTTTAGTATGTAGAGATGTTCAATTTATTAGGGTTGATGATATTTTTATAAGTCTTAATTATTTTTAAATTAATTGATAGAATCCTAATTAAATTTGGGTTTGTTCCTATGACTATATAATGTGTCCAAGGGTTTTGGAGAGAGGGAGAGGCATGACAATTTGGGTGCTCTTAAAGGTGATCTCTAGGATTTCCATTGAGGGTTGAAAGAGTTCTCTAGGTTTATGTCAAATGTGAGTAAGGAAGGTCATACTTGAGGGATGACTTAACTGTATTATATTTAATCTCATGTGGAGAATTTATCAAATCATATTAATCTTTTTGATATACTTTTTAGCCTATTAATCTTTGGGTATTCTTTTGAATTTAGAATTTTTCTCTTCCTCTCCAACAAAGTGATATCAAAGCCCAAAAATTTCAATGATTAGATATTCAATAAAGATATGATCGATTATTTTCGTTGACTTTACCATAGAGAAATTTAACGGAGAAAATAGTTTCACAAAATAGAGGATCTTTTTTACTCAGTAATATCTAATTACTAGCAAGAAGAAGTAAATAAAAAAAAGGAAGAATGATAAAGATTGGGAGACGTTGAGGCGAATTGCATGAGTGCTACTCGTCTTTGTATCTTTGATAATCTTATCAATAATATTATTAATTAATCTAAATATAGCAGTCGTATAATTTAGTGCTAATGTTTTGAAATAATAGTTTTGGCATACAAAATATTCATTATTTCACGTCGTTGTCGTACGTGGATGCAGCAGTGCGACGATGCATCCGTCACCATAAAAGCAGAAGCATTTTGTTACTGAAGCAAAGCAACACCCACACGACATGGACGGATAGATAGAGAGGACGGATAAAGAGAAGATGACAGGCGAACACAAACATTATTGGATCACGCCATCGTCGCTAATTTCCCACCGGTTTCTTCGATCGCCCACTGCTGCGACGGCTCTACTTTGGGGGCTGCATCGAGCGAGGAACAGGAGTCGGCCTCGCAGGCCTTGGGGTCCACACGATCGATGCAAGTGCACTCGTTGAGGACACACTCGCAGTTGGTGCAGGCGGAAGGGCAGAAGCCTTGCCATACGCCGCCGCAAAAGCAAAACGGAGGTGGGTAAATGAGAGGACAGACGCATGTGCAGCACGGCGGATCTTTCCTTACCCCCAACGCACTCAGTGCCGCTGCAGCATGAAGACGGAATTAACGATGCCTCGATCTCCAGCCCGATCATATACATGTTCGCATGCATATTTATCTACCTACCTCTGGCGAGGGATTGCGGATGGGGTGTGACACGGGCTGCCGAGGAGTCGGTGGCGAAGAAGGCCAACAACGTCACGAGCAGCGTCACAAGGAGAAGAGACGACGCTTCACCTCTTTTGCCTCCTCCAGCCATTGCTTACCGCTGAGCTTTCTATCACAACGTACCTGTGCAAGTATGAGGTAGTGCGTTTTCGCTCTGCCCTCCTCTTGTCCTATTTATGGTGCCACGATGCTCGAGCCACGAGCCATCAATAGTCGGACGGTAAGCTGGATTTAAATATCCCATAAATGCATGTGACTTCATTCAACCGGATGTGCGTGTTCATGAGAATAAATAATGGATGCAGGATTCAAGAGCTCGATAGTGTCCTCTCTCTCTCTCTCTCTCTCAAGATGACACTTGAACGTCGAACAACGATGGCCGGATAAAAGTTGCAGCACCAGACATGGTGAAGGTGCATCGGTGCATTAATTACTGTCCCCTATAATCTAATATAAATGCATCCGCGCGATGCAGATGGAATTGTTTTTATTTAGTTTCAAGTTGACGTATCTTTAATTAATATGATTACAGATTACAAAACAAATAAAGTACTGTTGTGGACGAGTAAGTAAAAATGATTTCACGCGCAACGCGCGGATGCACGCCGAGCTCCGGTCCCCACCGTTCAAATAGAAGGGGAGGGAGAGGCAACTACTGCTGAGTTGGTGGCGATGAAGGCCAGCATCAGCATACGAAGAAGACGAAGAAGAAGAAGAAGAGAGGCTTCAGTACCTCTTCTGCCTCCTCCTCCACCCATTGTTTAGTTCTCTATCACACACGACCTATGTATGTATGAGTCAGTACAGCTCGTTGCTTCTACCACACTCCCTCCCTTTGGCCATATTTATACTGCATGGAGATCCGCGCACCATGTGATGGTTGGCTTGGGTGGATAAGAGCAGCCATAGACTATTCGAACGATGGGGACGGGAACTCGGCGTGCATCGGCGCGTTGCGCGTGAAATCAATATTAATTACTTGTCTACAACAGTACTGTATTCCTTTGGGAATCTGTAATCATTTTACTGATAGACATGACAACTTGAAAGTAACTAAAAACAATTCCACGCTCAGCTCGTGGATGTTTATGGCAGCTCTTAACCACCCAAGCCAACCATCAAGTGCGTGGCGGACCTCTCCATGCACTATAAATATGGGCAAGTTGAGGGAGGGGAGGGAGAAGCAACGAACAGTATCTATCACCTACTTGTTCGTGAAGGCAAGATTCTAAGGACCGGTGCAGCAGCCCGTCCAATTAGTAGATGAAGTAATTTATATATTATTTTTTAATGACTAGCAGCAAAATTCTAACCCAAGATATTGTGATACATCATAAAATATTTATTAGCTAAGCTAACTAGTATTTTTTAAAAATATATTAGATAAAACTTCGATATTAAACCTATAATAAATTGGTTTAATGCACCACCATTAATTTAATGTTTAAAATACTACATATAGATATTACTAAGTTAAATTTATTACTGAAAAATGATCATCTACTACTAAGTTAAATTTATTCTCAGCATATGGTGGCAGAAGTAACGTTAGTCTGGCATTGTAGGATCCTCCTCAAGCATATCCTATCGAGACAACGTAAGGGAGTCTCTGACCGGGTCCATTCTTAGCAGGTGTTACTCACTGATTTCAGGCTCCAATAACATAAGAAAAACAAAAACTAAAAGGACTGACTTTTCGATGGGTGCTATAACATTAGAGATTGCAGCAGATAAAATTTCCAAGGACCTAAGCTGTTCAATGGGTGCTATAACTTCACATATGAAATCCAACTCTATAATATGGTTTCGATTAAATGATGATCGCTGATCTAGTAAAGTTTACCTAATTGAGAAGTGAATTAGGATCTTGATGAATCTAAATCGGCTTGGTCGACTTATACAGCAGACAGCATGTTCAATATTACGTGTATAATTTATTGCCGATGTTTTGGAATAATAGTTATCATACAAAATATTCATCATTTCAAGTGGTCGTCGTACGTGGATTCAGCAGTGCAACGATGCATCCGTCACCATAAAAGCACAAGCATTTTATTACTGAAGCGAAGTAACACCGCACGGTACACGAGATGGATTATAAGTAGATGGATGGATAGATGGATAGCACGGAGAGAGAGAGAGAAGACGACGGGCGAACACAAACACATTTGGATCACACCATCGTCGCTAATTTCCCACCGGTTTCTTCGATCGCCCACTGCTGCGACGGCTCTACTTTGCGGGCTGCATCAAGCCAGGCACAGGAATCGGCCTCGCAGGCCTTGTAGTCCACGTGATCGAGGCAAGTGCACTCGTTGAGAACACACTGGCAGTTGGTGCAGGCGGAAGGGCAGGAGCCTTGCCATACGCCGCCGCAAATGCACCGAGTAGGTGGGTAAATGAGAGGACAGATGCATCTGCAGCACGGCCCATCTGCCCTTGCTCCCAACGCACTCAGTGCCGCTGCAGCATGAAGACGGAATTAACGATGCTTCGATCTCCAGCCCAATCATATACATGTTCGCATGCATATTTATCTACCTACCTCTGGCGAGGGATTGCGGACGGGGTGTGACACGGGCTGCCGAGGAGTCGGTGGCGAAGAAGGCCAACTACGTCACGAGCAGCGTCACAAGTGTTGGTGAACAAATGTGCCGTGACTGGTGAGTCAGCACGGCTCGGTCCACGAGTCGATGTCGGTAGTCTTCTGCTGACTGAGTTGGACGCTAAGGTAGGCCGGGCCCTCGCGACGGGGTGTTAATCAACGTTTCTTGGTCCGGGCGTCATCTGCGTTGAGCAGCGTCTCTTCGTTCCCAGGCTGGTTGGCAGCTCGCCTTCGTTCACTGGATGACGATTCCCATGTCGAGACGCTTGTTGCTCGGGGGCGGCCACTTGCCTATAAAAGTGACCTTCGTCGGGGATTCCTGACTTTGGCCCATCCGACGAGCAAGTTAGTAGTTGTTTTTCTCTTCTCCTTTGTGTCCTTCCCTCCTCCTTGGATGGATGTTGGCTAAGGATTTTTATATTATTATACGAGAGTCGGTCGCATGCGGGTTTAGTGTGTCGATTGATCCTCGGGGGATGAGACGGTACTGTGCGACCGTTGTCCCGGGACATGCGGGACGACATCAGACGGCGTCGCCCCAAACTTATGGGACGAGACATATCGAACAGTGTCTTGGTACTGATTCTGACTTAGTATGTGGGGATGCTCCCCTTGCTGATCCGGCATCGATACGAATTCTGACTTAGTGTGTGGGGGTGCTCCCCTTGCTAACCCAACTATAACGTAGTGTGGCGTTGGTTGTGACGCGTAACCCAAACATACCTTATCAACAATTAGAAGAAGACGACCCTTCACCTCTTTTTGCCTCCTCCAGCCATTGCTTACCGCTGAGCTTTCTATCACAATGCACCCGTGCAAGTATGATGTAGTGCGTTTTCCCTCCGCCCTCCTCTTGTCCTATTTATAGTGCCACGATGCTCGAGCCTTTAATATATGATGGGTATGGTGGGACATATTTGTTGACAAGAAGAAATAATGGATTCGGAATTCAAGAACTCAAGTGTGTCTACTCTCTCACTCTCAATTTTACACTTAACCTGGAACGACGATAACAAGATAAAAAGTTGCAGTACCAGATTTGGTGCATTGATTATTGTCCCCCACAATATAATACGAATGCATCCGCGTGATGCAGATGGAAATATTTTTAATTATTTTTACGTGGTCGAGGATTATCCATACGTCCCAAGTGAATTATTGAATCCCATAGTTGCAATCGTTGGGATGGCAACGTGAACAATGTGCGGCGAATTTAATTAAAATTTTAATTTATTTTATCATAAGTTATTGTACCACATAATCTAACAGAATAGATTAATGAGTTCCTTCTTTAAAAATAGCTACAATATCAAATATCAAGCCATGATTTTTTTTGTTGCTTTAAATTATTCTGTACTAAGCAACTTCTGCTTTTAAAAAATTCGGGCTTATACAGCAAGTGAGTGGTTTTATCTAATATATAATGACAATTTGTCTAGATTGAGGAAGAAATGGAAAGGGCTGACTAGATTCATTTGTCTGTATAGCAATAACTTATATCATTATTGATATGGGATATTTTGGTGTCTGCCCACAATGATAATCGATAGCCATCGTAGAATCAACATGACACCATCTCATCGACATAATGCATGCATCTAAAAGTTGCACTACTGATTGCATCTCGAAATGGGACCATACGAAGTAGTACTCAAAATCAAGCAAGACAGCCTCACGCTGCGGTGAAACCAAAGCAGTCAGCCCATGCCATTTGGAGTGGACGAACAGACCACATGGAATGTCGATGGTCATTAACAGCCTGCATACGATTAACCTTCAACGAGAGGTATAAAATGTCACCCCTAAGTATACGTTAGGGATATGAATCACTATTATTAAAAAACTGACCTAAGCTTTGGAGGGGTCGAGTCGGGAATCTCCCTTCCTGACATCGACCTATTGTGTAGGAATTCGACATCAGAGATAACCTCAGCTCCATTTCGAGTCGACCAGGAGATACTAGCCTCGGTTCTCCGTTCCCTCTTCAGTCATCCTTCAAAGCGACTATGTGGATGCCCTCGCACGATCAGGACCGAATCAAACTATGTTGGATCTTGGGCCACAATATAAAGAACCACAACAATTATTATAAGACGATAAAATATTACTAAGCGTAACAAGATTGAAGGGTCTCCAATACAATCGATCTACTCATCCGAAGAGGAAATTGTAAAATAAAAGAGCGTCACCAAGGGATCCATGCGACTCTCTTCTAATACCCACGTCAGATAATGTCCGATTGTACATAATAAGGATAAAAAAAAACAAAGTTAGGCTTCTAACATTATCTATGTCCCTCTAATTTCTATTATATTGATATCATGGCATTATCTTCGAGGAGATAAACTCTGGGAACGTAAAGTGGGTTCAATGAAATTTTATATTTCTCCCAAGTATTTTTTTTATATATGGTATCAAAACCACCAAAATAGTTTAGCTTCCACTACTACTTTTGTATTATCGCTATGCCACAAAGACGATCTCCAAAGAGCCTACTTGTCTACCTATTTGAAGTCAATCCTATTGAGGCGCGGTATGTGATGAAGCCACGAGTGTTGCATTAACACTT